GGACTAAATATTTTACGGACGCGGGGAAAGACACGGTGACTTCCAAGTTTTCCATGCAACTTGAAGTAAATCAGCTTACTAAGGAAAAAGAAAGTGGAGTCAGGGAAGGAATACGCAGCTGTATTGAGTAGGATGTTCTGAGTCTTCTCCAATTATTTCAAGTCATTCCTACACTCCTGTGAAGTTGCTGATCTGGGGAGTTTGAATATCCCTGGAGATCCTTTATTCCCATTTCACCAAACCTTTACGAGCTCCCGGGCTTTCTCTGGCAGGGTTGCATTGGAGTCAGTGATAAAGTCATAGAATCTTGGAATTATTAAGGTTGGGAAAGATCTACAAGATCATCAAGTTTGTAGGAGTTGAAGGGAAACTGATGTGGTTGCTGGGACAAAACATCCAGAAATGAGTGTTCTCATGTGCCTACACAGCAGTAAGTGCAGAAAACTAAGGCTGTGCCTGGCAAAGGTGTGTGAAAAATTTCTGTGTCCCTTGAAATGGGACATATTTCTCACTCTCTGCTCCAAATAAAAAAATTCAAGTGACAAGTTTCTCATGTCTCCAGCACCAATGGATACCTGAGGAATGGGCTTCAGCCTGTTCTGTTGATCCCAGACTTACACCTGTGGATCTGATCCCCACCCTCAGGCATTCTCTGTAATCCTGTGAGACTTTTGTGTGGTGAGGAATGGGAAGACAAGGAAGGAAATCAGCGATATCTGATTGTAAATGTGGGGTTTTATGTAAAAGCACTATTATTAGAAGGAAAACAAACAAACAACAAACAAACCTGGTTCATTGTGTTCTAAATGAGCCTTTTAATAGACTGGCTTTCTCCAGTGAAAGTCTAAAAGGAATTTATGAAGGGGAAAAGGACAGATTTAATCAGCACATGGGATTTTAGGTTGTGTTGCCAAGTCTGATCAAGGTGAGGCAGGACTGGAGACACAGCTGGGAATGGCTCCAGGGTCATTTGCTCCATCACCACACTTCTGGACCATGATTGTTCTCTCTGCCTTCATCTCCTCAGCTCCATGATTTCCAGAGCACATAAATAGCAGCCTTTCCCTGAATAAATGGTTCTAATGTGCCTCTTGGATTGCCTTCCAAATTTTCCAGCAGGCTCCAAAGGCTGTGTCTAAACCCACTGCCTCTCTAACCAGAGTGGGAGATGGTTCCTAGAGTTTGTGGCCTCCCTGGGTATGGTGGAAAATGTTCTTGAGTATAAATGGTCTTGCTTTCCACTGAAGTACATAATGAAAATAAAGAGTTAGATTTCACTCAAACTCCACCAATTGCCTTCATTTCTAGCAGTAAAGTGGCCTATTAATCTTGAGGGTCATTCAAATTAAAAATCAAAAAAAAAAAACAAAAGACAAAATACCATACAACATTGCATTGCTTGCAGATTTTGAGGTTAACATGACTTGACTGTGTCTTTTAAGCTTATTTAAACATTTAATTTTGTTTTCTTGTTCTGTCCCCGAGTACATATGGATTTCACAGAGGTTTAACAGGACAGAAGAAAGTTCCTTGTAATTGAAACAGGCTTTATGCACATCAGGATGTTTTGTTCAACACTCTGAGGGAGAAAAACATGTTCCTTCTGTCTAAAGTGACTTAATTTCAGATTAAAGGGAACAACTGTGAGAAGGGAGACAAGTCTTCCTTGGAAAAGCATCACCAACAGAACTGTTGCTGAAATCCGTTCAAAGGGAATAATCCTGAAACTTTATGTTTAATAATACAGAGAAAACAGAGAAGGACTCATGCAGCATAAATCATAAAATTATAGAAACATGGAATCACAGAATCATACAATCATAGAATGGTTTGGGTCCGAAGGGACCTTCAAGATCATCTACTTCCATGGGCAGGGACACCTTCCACTATCCCAGGTTGCTCCAAGCTCTGTCCAACCTGGCCTGGAACACTTCCAGGGATGGAGGAATCCACAACCTCTCTGGGCAACCTGTTTCCGTGTCTCAACACCCTTCTAGTAAAGAATTTGTTCCTAATATCTGATCTAAACCTAACCTCCTTCAGCTTAAGACCATTTCCATTGTCTTATCACTCCTTGCCACTGTCCCAAGTCCCTCTGCAGCTCTTTTGGAGCCCCTTTAGGCCCTGGAAGGGGATCTCAGGTCTTCCTGGAGCCTTCTCTTCTCCAGGCTGAACACTTCCAGCTCTCCCAGCCTGGCTCCAGAGCAGGGGTGCTCCAGCTCTCTGATCAACTCAGTGGCCTCCTCTGGGCTCACCCCAGCAAGTTGATGTCCCTCTCATGCTGGGAAACCCAGAGCTGGATGCAGCACTCCAGGTGGGATCTCAGCAGAGCAGAGTAGAAAAGGAGAATCCCCTCCCTCACCTGCTGCCCACTCTGCTTTGGATGCAGCCCAGGACACGGGTCTTTGCATTTACAAATGTCACTGGAGCTGCAGAACTTCTGAACTTTGCTGGAAGCCTTTGCAGAGCATTTGTGAGCACGTGGAGCACTGAGGGATGAGCTGTGTGCTGGTGCCACATGGCCCCACAGCCAGGCTTGTCTCAGCTGCTCTCCGTGATTTATGGCAGGAGACTTGGTAAGCCAACTGATAAATGATTCCTCCATTATCATAAACAGACATGGCCCAGCATAGATTATAACTACAGCTGAGAAAAAACAGCAAAACAAAAAACAAAACAAACAAACAAACAAAACCAAAAACAACAAAACAAAACAAAAAACCCACAAAAAGCCAACCAACCAACCAACAACAACAAAACCAAAACAAAACAAAAACCACAAGCAAAAAAAACCCCAAACAAAATCCAAAAGCGCAAACAAACACTAAAAAACAACATCAACAACAACAACAAAAAAAACAAACACAAAGGTCACAAGGCTGAGTTTGGGTGAATGGTTTACTTAATCTTAATTTTTTTTTCTTATTTTACTCAGGATTAATCCCACTTTCCACTGAAGGGCTTCCAAGGTAGCTTCAATAAGCTCTACATTTCGGGATAAATATGTTTTACATATGTTTATGTCAAGTGATCTACACAACCAGAGGATCAGCCTTTGATTTCAGGATGTTTGGGTGAAACAAAGTTGTTGGAAAACCACAGATTTTCATTCATGTGAGAATCAAAGGAACACATCCTGAAAGGGGCTGAGCACTCACCAACTCCATTGGTTTCTGTGGGAGCCGGGTAGCACTTGGTCTTCCAAGAATTAGGCTTGGGAGATGATTTGAAATGTTTCAATCTGAAAAATGAGGTTGTAAACCACTAATGTGTGAAATTTTGCAGTTTTGTTTTGGTTTTTTTTTGCTTATGTCTTCTGACATCAGTGAAGAGCTGACTTGGGTCCTTGTATGTAAATAAATCAAGTGGAGTTCAGTCCCTGGGTGTTGGGAACACGGGGGCAAGAAGATGACTGTGGTGGGCTGACCCTTGCTGGGTGGCAGGTACCCATCAAAGGCACTTTTTCACTCCCCTCAGCTGGACAGGGGAGAGAAAATATAAGGAAATGCTCATGTGTTGGGATAAAGGCAGGGAGAGATCCCTCACCAGTTACTGTCATGGGCAAAACACACTCAACTTGGGAAATTATTTTATTACCAATTAAATTGGAGTAGGGCAATGAGAAATAAATACAAATGTTCTTTAAAAAATCTTCCCCTTCACTCTTGATTTTCTCTTCTCCACCGTGGGCATCCATGGGCTGCAGGGGCACAGCTGCCTCACCACAGGCTGCAGGGGAATTCCTGCTCCAGCACCTGGAGCACCTCCTGCCCCTCCTTCTTCACTCACCTGGGTATTTTCAGGGCTGTTTCTCTCCCATCTTCTCTCTTAGGTTGGAGTTATACGCATCTTTTTTTCCCCCCCACCTTCTTAAATCTTAAATCCCAGAGGTGCTGGCACAGATGCTGGTGGGCTTGGCCGTGCCCAGTGGTGAGTCCATCATGGAGCTGGTTGGCACTGACTCCTTTTGACACGGGAGAAGCTCCCAGAAGCCTTTCATAGGAGCCCACCCCCCACTACCAAAAGCTTGCCAGGCAAACCCAACTCAACAACCCACAGATGTGGTCATTTACTGGCTGGGATTATTTATAAATTCCTGTTGGAGGTGCCACCTTTTAGTGGACTCATTGGCTGTGTGGAATTTTAAATGTGGAAGGAGGGAGTGTTCCTGATGAAGACTTTTTTTTCTTTTTTTTTTTCTCCAGTTCAAAGTGTTTTTATTTAACTTCAGGTGTAAGAGTCATTTCTCTTGCTGCAAGAGGGGAGAAGATGTGAGTTTGCCCCAGCTCTGGCCAGAAGCATCAGTTGATCTGATGTAGCACCAGTACTTCAGTTATTAAAAAGCTTCAATTAATAAAAAGCTTTGATTAATAAAGTCCCTCCACTGTGTTGCTCTGATAAACCAAATACCCAGCAGGAAGAGAAAGAAGCTTGCTATTAGTTACATATTCCTTCCATAGGGTTCTTAGCTTTGTCTTTGGGCAGAAGTATCAGTTCACTGATATTAGACATCAGTGTGTGAAAGTGTTTTTTTATAAGAAGGAGAAAAGAAGGGGAAAAAAAAATCCCAAACATTATTGCTTAAATATTATTTTGAATTTTTAAAGCTAACCTAGTGATACTAAAGCAATAGAAAAGGGGGAATAGGTATTGAAATCAAAATGTTTTGACTGGCCTGAACTGAACTCCCATTCACGTGCCCAGCTGCTGCTTTGTGAAAGTGATCCTGGAATTTTGAGCTCATTTCAGGCTTTTGTGACAGTCACTTGAGGTATCTTCAGCTTCTTCTTCCAGTATGAAAAATTGTTTTCTTGTTCAACTCTCCAGGTATCATCCCTGTGAAAGGGGATAGACAATCCTATACAGCACAGAGGGATTTTGCATTTCAAGCTCTGTCTGCCAGTGCTCAGGCAAGGAGGCTTTTCTTGCTTCCTCCATTGATTTAGGATTCGCATTCTGAGCGCGTTGTAACTACAAGGAAATGAAATTCTCTCGCTTTCTGCTAAAATAAGAAGATTTACTCGGGGAAACAACTCTGTAAATACCACGTACTGCCATCTATGGCTCTGCTCGGGAAGCACATTGGCCGGGAGAGCCCTGCAAATGGAGCTGCTTTACAGTGACAGAGAAACCTTTTGTTCTGACCGAGACTTTAAACAAGTGACTCCAAGCTTCCAACAGCTGTTGTGGGAAGATGAAGTTCCCGGGGGAGGGGAATCCCAGTCCATCCCACTCCTATCGGTTTGGTGCCAGGGTCAGCAAGAGATGCTCAGAGCATGGAGAGGGGTTGCAAGTCGGCAGGAAAGCACCTGAAGAGCGGCACAAAGGAATTCCAGCCATTCCAGATGGGAAATTGGCTTCCTCAGTGATCCAATTTAAATGCCTCTAACTCTAAAACCTGCAGGATGGGGAATAAACAAGAGGAGTTAGAGATGTGCACAAGCCTGCAGGGCTGTGATCTTACTGGCATCATGGAGATGTGGTGGGATGGTTCCTGTGACTGGATTGGGATGAATCCTATGACTGGAGTGTTGGAATGGAAGGATTACAGGCTCTTTAGGAAGGACAGGCATAGGAGATGAGGAGGGGGTGTCACCCTGGATGTCAGTGACCAGCTGGAGCACATGGAGCTCCTTTTGGGATGGAGGAGGAGCTGAAGGAGAGTTTATGGGTCAGGATTAAGGGAGGGCAGGGACAGGTGACAGTAGAGTGGGGGGCTGCTGCAGACCACCCAATCAGGAGGATCTATGGGGCTTTGAAAAACCTGGCCTAGTGGAAGGTGTCCCTGCCCATGAGGTAGGGTTGGAACAAGATGATCTTGAAGGTCCCTTCCAACCCAAACCATTCTGTGACTGTGTGAAATGATGCTGTAATTATCATTACCGTTGCTATTTTTACAAGTTGTTCAGCACTTTCTCTCCTGTAAATAAAGTTTCTGAACAAGGATGAGAAAGAGATGAGCAGTTGTTAGAGAAATTCCCTTTATGTGGCCATTTGGTTTTGTCTTCACTGGCAATGGTGTCACTCTGGGCCAAAAGTGCACTTTGCTTTTACCTTCACACTCTTGATCCTCAGCCTCTGGTTCCTGGATCTTCACCAGCTTTTGGCCTTGCCACAGGAGGAGGAATCCCTCTCCCTCCGTAGTCTGTCCAGAAGTGATGTGTAAAGCTCCTGTGATCCCCACAGGAGTGTGTGTGTCAGGGAATGGACATGTGGAAGAGGTGGGGGGTAGAGGTAAAGGAAGCTGGAGCCACAGTGACTGTAGATCGTCATTGTGGAATGGGAAGGCAGCAGAAGGATGTCATGAACATCTCCTCCCCACCCCTTCTGTTCCTAGTCAGGAAGTGAGGAAAGAGAAAAGCTCAGGATCAGTTCAAAGCTCTGGAAAAAGAGAATTGTGAATATTTAGGCTTGGGGCCTCATCATTCCTTCCTGCTGCCAGAGCCAGCACCACAAATGCTTTCAGGGGTGGGTTTTATCCTCTCCCCTTGATGATCCCAGAGTTTTGGAACTCTGGTGAGTGGCTTCTTCACCAACATTCCAGTCACTCATCCAAGCTCCATCCACCGTCTCTGGCCATGACTGTGTGTGCTGGTGCTTGTCCCCCTCATTAGGACTCTTCTTTTGGGCTCCATAAAGTTGTCCCCTGACCCTGGTGTGCAAAGCAGGCTGGTTAAGGGAGTGGGCTGGAGTTAGGGTTTTCCAAGCTGTCACTTAGGAAGCTGGGACTGCTGCCCTGCCTCACTTTACAAGTCTAGAAAATGGGCTTAATGCTAAATTCCCATTTTAGGAGAAGCCTCTTTGCAAGTTGTCCAAGAATGGAGGACTTTGAGCCAAGACACTCCTTGAACACAGAAAATTTTTTCACTTAATAGATACAACCCACGTGAGGAGGAACAGGACTTTCCTCCCTCGCCCTTAGAAGAGGCTGTGATTGCTGGGTTTGACATGTGATGATGTGAACCTTAACACTCCTGAGCAGCTCCTGCCAGCAGAAACCACAGCTGGTAACAGGAATGAAAAGTCATTAGAAATATGTATAAAAAATTGATGACAACAACAACAGCAACAACAAAAGTGAGGTGGAAATGACAAGCCAGTGAGAGGGGGGAATAGGAAAATCCCCTTCAAGTCCTGTGTAAAGCTGACTTATTCCATGTTACCCTTCAGCAGAAGGATGTGACTAGCAGGAAATTTGAAATGTTTAAGCAGATCTTTAACCAGACACAATGCAAGGTGCTATAGATGTAAACACAGTGGTATCTGTTGCTGGAGGGGAAGTAAACTGATTACTTACAAGCTGTCCTCCTTTGCAGTTATCCTCTTCAAACACATCCTCCGGGAATCCCAGGCATTCCCTTTTTTTTTTTCTTACCATCCTCATTTAAACCTCCAGTGGCTGGAGTTGCCCCTGGAAGGAGGGGGCTCCTCCAACAAACTGAACTCAGTTTCTCTGCATTGGAATTGTGCTTCCAGCAGATTTTAGGGGCAGATATATTATTCCAATGGCACTACAATCCTACCTTTCCAAAGTGGGAGGTGGGAGGACAGAGTTAACAAGCCTAAACCAGCTCTGAACAGTTTCCAGCCCAAACAGACTATTTTCATCTATAGAAGGTGCTTCAAAAGAAGGTAGAAAAATGGGGCAGATAGAAAATGTTTTTCTCTCTTTCATGCCTCCCTCATGTACTTTGTAGTCTGAGACCCACTTAGGCCCCCAAAGCAGCTTAATCCTTGTCCCAAAATCTCTTTGCAGATTCCCAGAGGTGCTGCATTTATCCATGGAAATTCCCATCCCATTTTTTGCTCTTGACCAGTGTTGCCTCTGACAACAAGAGGCATTTTCTGTGCAATAAGTGTGTTCTAAATTCAAAGTGTTTGTAAGGGTAGAGAGTTTGTTTATCTCTATTGAGTTTGCTGGGGGGGGGGGTGACAGAGGGAAGTGGAAAATTACAGCTGGATCCAACTCAAGCTTTTCAATCTCCAAAACCCAGACAGAAAACAGACCATGGACAAAGACCACAGAGCAGAGCAGAGAATGATAGCTGTCTCTTGGTTGTGTTTTTGGACAGCAAAGCCAGTGTTTGTCATAAAACCCACCCAGTACCTCCCCAAATGCTGTCATGGGTGGGTTGACCTTACAGCACCATCAAGATGGTCTGGGGATGGTGTGTCCCAGAAGCTGTTGGGCCTTCTAATCCCTGCTTTTGCTACTCCTGTCTGCTTCTCTTTCCTCTGGGAATGACACTGGAAGGTCCCGGTGGTGCATTGAGTAACTTCTGGAGTCATCACACCATGTTGTGATGGGACAGAGGTTACCAGTTTGGGATGAGCTGAGGCCTTTTGGTCATTTCTGCACAGTTTCAAGCAAAACAGGGCAGGGATCTCTGTTCTAAGTCTTTCTGTGTCACAAATAAATCATACAGCTGGGCAGAGTGGTCCCAGCAAGGCCCCTCCATGGGGAGCAGGGGAGACAACCATGAAAAAAGGGGTCCTTATATGTGTTGTTCTCCCTGTGGATTCCACGCTTTGGTTGTTTTGGCAGGATGGAAGGAAAGGTATATGTCTCCCGAAAGGCAGATTTCTAGAAGACCTGATGTTTTGAGAGCATCTCTTGCTCTATGAACAGATTTCTTTGCTCTCCAGATATCCTACAGGAGTGAACTTCACAGATCCCTGTGCATTGTGGTGAAGTTATTTCCTCTTCATCCCTTCACAGATGTGCAAAACCAGAGAGAAAGGTGAGTTATTGCATTTGATTACCTCAACCCATTGCAGACCCCAAATCCTCACATGTCCTGTTCAGTGTTGCAGCTCACCCTCAGTTCTCCCCGGAGGGCACACAGTGAGAAATGAGGAGCTCAGGCCTGTCTTCTCTTCATTTTTAAGGTTTGGGGCATGTCTACCCTTTTGTTAAATGAGGGTCTGGGGATTCACAAACTTCTCTACTTAGGCCTGGAAAGAAATGGGCTGCAGGGATATTTTTCAGCATCTGTGGACAACACTCTCAGGCACGTGGTGGGATTCCTGGGGTTGTCCTGTGCAGGGCCAGGAGCTGCATTTGATGATCCCTGTGGGTCCCTTCCAGCTCAGGATATTCTATGATTTTATGATCCATTGCATTGAGTACAGCTCCCCATTCCCACAAAGATGTGTTTTCCATCACTCCCCATTGCAGCAATGGGAACTGAAAATGGGTTTTAGTTTTTTCAGGGGCACTTTCTGGCACTTCTTCCTCATGCTGAGCTTCTTTGCCCTGCAACACAGGAGAGATTCCCAGCTGCACCTTGCTCTGTCTGGTCTCCCCAACCACAAGACAGGGAAGGTGAGCGCCCCTCATTCCCCCCACCACCCCAAAAGCAAGACAGAGCTGCCCCACGGGGCTCACAGGGGCAGAACACATTTCTTAGGTTCTTTTTCCCAAGCACTCCGTGTTTCCCTCCAAAGCTTTCCCCTCTCCTGTTTGCACCTGCCAGGGCTGGAGAGAGAGAGAGAGAGAAGCTGGAGAAATAGAGAAGAAATCCCTGGGGGCCTCGGAGGCACAGGGAACCTTCTTGCAAGAAAACAAACTCCCGAAAGGCTGGAGAGAGAAAGGGAGAGATTTCCATTCGGAGCATGCACGGCGCTAATCCAGCATAGCCGCCTGTCGGCTAAAAACACGCATTTCAGGCCCCAGCTGCCCCTTTGCTCCAGTCCCTGCTTAACTGGAGATGTCACAGATGCCTTTGGCCGGCGATGCTGCAGTGCCGGCTGGGGATGAGGAGAGGCTGGTTCGCTGCGCTCCACCACAGCCAGGGCTTGCTGCTCAGCTCCCCTGAAGGAAGGATTTTCTCCTTCCCCGCGAAGTTTTTTAGGGATACGAGAGGTTTGAAGGTGTGGAAACGGGGGTAAAAGGGCCGGATGACGTGAAGGGAAGGGAGGAAAGGGAAAGAAGGCCGAGGGAAGGGGGTGGAGGTGCCCTGGAGAGTCCCTGTGAGGAGAAATGGGGTGCTCTTCACCCTCCCTAAGACAGAGGGATAAAGGCTGATGGCAGATGGGATCTTCACCTCTGCCCCTCGAGAAGGTCTGTGCCCCTCCTCTGTTGGGAAGCAGCACCCCGGACAGGGAGGGAGATGGTTTTGTCAGGGAAAGGGGGTGGTTTCCCCCTTTTGGAGTAGAAAAGGTTAAAGACAAGGGGCAGGTCCTGAAGCCTGACAAGATTCTGAAGACCCCCAGCTCTTCCCCCCTTCTCGAGCCTTATCCCTCTTCCCTCCACTCCCTTCCCAGACCCCCCCCTCTGCTCGGGAGGCTCCTCATTCCCGGGGAACCTTCCCTGGGCTGTAAAGCCGGAGGCAGCAGCTTTAGCCCAAAGCTGCTGGGATGCAGCCTGAGCCTTTCACCCCAGCCCATCTCCTCCTCCTCCATCTGCTCAAACTTTCCCTCCCCCCCCCCCTCCTTCTACCCCTGGGGCGTTACGTGGATGTGATATCCCCCTCATCTCATTCTCCCAATATTTTGGGTTAATGGAGCAAGGAATTGGGGAGGATGCCAGGAGAGAGGTTAAAATCAAACAATTAGGAAAGGGTTAACGGCTGTTGTCGTCTCCTGCCCTGGTGCAAAGCCACGGCCAAACCGGGGTGCTGGGGGAGGTCCCCCCATCACCGCCCTCCTCCTCATCACCCCCCCGCCTGCCGGGCTGATGGGCTGGGGGACCCACTGCCCCGGTGGTCCCTGCCGCCCTGTCCCGTGTCCCGTCCCTCTCGGCAACCTGTGAGCTCCGGGGAGGCTCCGGGGGGGTGGTGGGAGAGTCCCCCAGCCCCCCTGTCCCCGGCTGTACCCCGGCAGCGCCGAGCCGCGTCTCTGCGCATCCCTCTGCGGGCGAGCGGCACCTCTCCGCGCCGAACCTCCGCAGGTTTTTTGGGGAGCGGGGAGGGGAACAGAGCCCTCGCCATCCTCACCACCACCTTCCCGGCTCCCTCTTCACCTCCTGGCTCCCCGCTTAGGGCTAAGCTGTCCCGGGGAGGCTGCGCTGCCTGGGCTCCAGCGCGCTCCGGCTGTCGCTGGGCTCCTCTGCTCCATCCATCCATCCATCCATCCATCCTGTAGGCTAGCGGAGCATGCCCGATGCGATACCGTGTCAGTTCGGGTCCTTGCCTATAGCTGCCTGTTTTACAAAGCTCCGATCCGTGCGTGTGCGTGTGTATGTGTGTGTGCATTTCATCCCTCCCTCCTATCCCTCCCTCCCTCCCTCTCTCTCTCTCTCTCTCTCTCTCACTCTAATGTGTGATCTGGAAAGCTTATAAAAGCCTGATGTAATCCTTAATGCAGCCCCTGGCTACAAAGACTGGATCTAGTTTCACAGAGAGAGATTCAGAAGCAGAATTTAAAAAAAGAAAAAGAAAAAAAAAAAAAAGAAAAGTGGGGGGAGAAGAGAGAGAAAGAAGGAAAAGCAGACGAGTGGATTTTAAACAAACATATCTTTCTGAAGAAGACCATTCTCGCTCCTCGCTACTGGGAAAGCTACTCTGAACCCTGCTGTATATTTTTTTTTTTTTCCAAAGGAGAAGACTTGATTGTCTGCTTGGATCTAATGATTTACTGGCTTTTAACTGCGTTTTCCCTCTCTCCTAAGGATTCCTCAAAAAACGGCTTAATTATTTTTGGCTTTTCTCTTCTACCTGCCTGTCTGCAGAGACACCAAAGGTTCTCCTTTCCTTTCCCTCCCCACCCCCATTTCTTTTAGGATTTTTTCCCCCTTTTCCCTTTAATAGATACATATATATATATATATATATAAATGTGTATGTATATATATATGTAGAGGCGAGAGTGGAGGAAGAGGAGGGAGGGAGAGCTCTGCCATCCTTTGGACTTCACGCGCTGCCCAATGTTGGGCTGGTTACCCCTGGATATGTTGCTGGTTTCCATTTGGAATTTGACAAAGGGAAGAAGGAGGATATAAAACCTGGGGAGCTCGGCAAGGTAAGGGGCTCCCGGCCACACTTCCTTCTTCAACGGAGGGTAGGGAGAAAGGGAACGCGACTTCTCCGGGCTGCGCTTTGCCTGGAGCGCAGGGGGGGGTGTCTGTCTCCATCCCCAGGGGAGGCAGGGATGGGGGCAGCGCTGGGGACCCCTTCCTCTGCTTTTACCCCTGGAAACAGCACCCGGAGGGTGCTTTCGTCCCCTCAGCTCTGAAATTTGGACGGATAGAGCATAATCATTCCCTGACATGGGAAGTTTTAACTTTTGTGCATGCGGGTCCTGTGGGCAAACATCAAGCGGTGGAGGAAAATATTGATGTCTGCAGGATGCGGAGGGGGAAATGCAGTCGTGTCCTGGGGAAAGCAGCTGGGGATTGGGTTGGGTTTTTTTGGGGGGAAGGCAACCAGGAGAGGGAAGAGGAGCGGGGGATCGCGGCAGGAGAGCTGCAGAGCCAGCCGGGGCTGAACTGCAAAGTGCTGTGAAGCCGCGGTGCCTTCGCGGGCTGCCCTGGGGTCCGGGACTCCTCAGCCTGCAATGTTGGCAAACAAAGTCTCGGAAGGACAGGCAGCTGCCTGCCCCGGGCGTGAATCTGCCCTTATCACAGCTTCTCGCCTTCCCCTTTTTCCTTGGAGAGGTGGTGGGAGGGTGAAGGGTCTTTTTTGCTTCGCCGCTTGTGTGGCTCCTACCCGGGGCTGGAGGCAACGGCTGGGGAGGGGTGAGCTCCTGATGTGCCCCCCCAAATGCCATTTATCAGCACTTTGCTTCACACGGGAGGAGAAAATGAGCCTTTAGCCTGTGTAGGGCTCGGAGTACGGCACAGACACACAGACACACACATGCTGCTCCCGGAGCTGTGCTCCTGGGGGATGCTGGCACCCAGGCACGGCTTAGGCTTTCTTTGAGGTTGGGGAGGAGGGTGGCGAGAGAAGGAGTCTCCATCAGGGATGCGTAATTACAAAGCATCTTGTTCTGAATCACCCTGTGTGGGAATGAATCGCAAAATTTGTCTCTCCCTCTTCCCCCACCGCCCCCTTCCCTTTCACGGCCTGACATTCGCTGATGGAGGGTGGCTGTTGATGCATCTTCAGACTTTCACAGAGGTGTTTCAGCCATGGCTTTGCCAAGGCTGGAAGGAAAAGGGGAAAAGCGGGATGGAGGGGATCAGGTGGATGTTTCAAAGGGACTTTTCAGCCTGGTTGTGCCCCCGGTCCTGGCTGAGAGCAGCAGCGCTCCCCGAATCGAAGGCTCGGGTTTCAGATCAACTCCGCCAGGTCCCTTCGGTTGTGCCACTCAGGTCCCCGATCCTGCCCTGGCCACGGGAACAACCCCTGTGAATCCGTTGCACAGACAGGAGGTGGTAGGGAAGGGAGCATCAAGGCAAGGTCAAAGGGATGGAGGGCAAAAAGACACCCCCCCCTTCCATCCCTGACCACTCCATCCCTTCGGAGTCGGGGCTTTCCAAGGCTCAGGCTCAACCCACCTCCAGCACCGGGTCTGGCGAATGCCAGGGCCAGCTGACATCTGATGGCTGAGGGAGGAGGAAGAGGAGGAGGGGAAGGAGGGGGCTGAGGAAGAGCGGAGCTACTTTGACAGATGCCCAAACCTGCCTGTGCGGCAGAGCGAGAATCGCAGCGTCTCCAAAGCCTCCCTGGGAGGGAGCCAGGGGTGCTCCGGGCGCAGGGGACACCTCCCCAGCCCCGTTACCTGTTGATTAGCGACAGGTTTGCTCTCACCTGACCGTGCAAAGCCTGAGGGAAGCCGGCAGGGATGAGCCCCCGGCACTCGGCGGAGTTGCCTGATGACCTCCGCGGCGGAGCGGGGAGGGCTGTGTGTTAATGGTGATGACTCTGCTTTGGCTGGTGCTGAAATATCTGTATTATCTATTATCAGCTGGGAGACGAGGCTGGAGGCTTCGCAGAGCTGGGATCTCATCCAAAGTCCGGGCAGCTAAAGGAAACAAACAACTCCCCATGCATATTAAGTGGGTCCCTAATTAATTAATGACTCATTAACCTGGGTCCCACAGTCCTTGCTGTGCGGGAGACCTCTCCGAGGAAGAGGAAGGAGGTCTCAGGGAAGAGCCAGGGAGGTTTTTACCCTGGGAGGGTGCTGAGGAATTGCACCAACCAAGCCGCACTGCCAGGGGACAGGGTGGGCACGGCGCTGAGCCAGGCAGGGGACAGGCAGAGGGCTGAGCAGGCAGGACACCCTGTCTGAGGGTGCTCAGAGGGGCATGGGGAGCACGGGGGTGCTGAGGCAGGGGGAACAGGGGACCTCCATGCTCTGTGTGATCTAGAGGGGTCAGGGTGCAGCATCACTTCTGCTGTGGAGGGAGAAGGGGAAGGCCAGGAGGAAACTGGATGGGGTAAAGGCACAGGCAGGGCAGGAGCAGGACCCCTGGCCCTTCCCATAGCACTTGGGATGGTGTTGCAGAGCCCTGGGTGGAGGGATAGGGGCTTGGAGCCCCTCATAACCGACCACTAAAGGTGAAGAGGCTCAGGGAAGGGCTGGCTGCAAAGTGCAGGGGTTTTCTAGTTATGAATTTTCTCTACCTCTCTTCTCCTTACATGGGGGAAACTGAGGCAGGTCCGTGTGCCAGACCCCATACCCTGGCTGGGAAATGTGTGTGTGGGGAAACACACCTGATCTCCAATCAGACCTCAAGGAGCAGCCACAGGCACCCTCCACGGTGGGGGGAGCACCCCCCCATCCCACTGTTTTGGCACACCAGGGAGACCTGCAACACTCTCTGCCCCACAGGCCCTCAGAGGTGGTCTGGGACAGTCACACAGCCCTTCTCTCCCTTACATCACCCCACAGACTCCTTTTTCAACCACCCTAAACTCAATGACACCCCCTCCCAACACACACACGCACACACACACATGCGCGCTCTCCATCCTTCCCACAGCATCGGGACCGTTCCCGCTGGAACCGCGGGGGCGGGAGAGGCTGGGAAAGGATGGGGGGGCATCTCAACCTGGTGTCAGGGTCCCCTCCACATCTCCCCCCTGCCCATTCGCGGTACCGGGGGGGCTGTCGGGGGCGGTCGGGGCTTGCGGCGAGCGGCGGGGAGGTGGCGCTCGCAGCCCGGCTATCGCCGCTCGCCGCCCCCGGAGCGCTCGGATGCTCGGCACAGCCCGTGGAGCGCTGCTCCCCCTTATCCTCTCCCAAACAAAAAAAAAAAAAAAAAAAAAAAAAAAAAAACAAAAAAAAAAACACCCCACCTGCACGGCTGGGGCTCGCAAGAAGCGCTGCCTCGCACCCCGCACCAGAAACACGCCGCCCACGGGGGTTTATGTCTCAGTCTCTAGCATCACCTTCCCATGGACTTTTTGCCCCCCTCCCCCCGTGTTTTTTTTACCACACTCCCCCACGTTTCACCCTCCCTCTTCTCCCCAATTTCAACATCGTTGTGAAAATAGAGGCTCGTTGAGCTTCCACGGGCTCTCCATGGGAGTGCAAGTGGGGTGAGCAGCTCTGTTACCCCCGTGCCCAGGATTGAGAGGGGCAGCCCCCAGCTCTAAGGGCTTGCTGAGGGTCTTCACACCATCCCTTGCTCCGTACAAGCGGGGGAAAAGGTTGCCCGAGCACTCTGCTCCTGCGAGTCCACCCATAGTGGGATCGTGCCCCATCATCTCTCCTGGGAAGGGGAGATGATGGAAGGGATTCCCGCAGTGACTGTGCGGCTACAGATGGCTTTTCTTTACCCCTTTTTAGAGGGAGGGAGAGGGGAAAGCAGCGTGTTCCTAGATCCAGATTCACCTTCTCCCGTAGCTCGAGTGCAGCACGCAGGAAATCCCCTGCCATCGATACCTGTTGCCGGGGATCAGCTCGGCTCATTAATTAGCTCCAGGAAACCTGCGCTGGTAAACAAATGAGTCAAAGCTTTTCTCCGGGGCTGATCCCGGGCTCGCAGTGCACCGGTTGCCACCTTTCTAGGAGAGGTGCAAAGAGAGAGGAGTATTTTCTTCAAGATGGATGACAGGCTGTCTCTGGAACCAGCTCGCCTCCTCCCCTTGGAGAAAATTCCCATCCCCAAGCGAGCCTTCCAAGGGAAGGGAGCTGGCACCTGGCCTGGGGGTTTGCAGAGGAGTCTTGGTGTCACAGCACATGTCAGAACGGCTCCGTGTGGCTGCAGAGAAAGTCCCCATCACATCCCAGTGTTCACCTTTCACAGGATGCTCCCGTGTCCTTCTCATGGTTCCTTCCCCAAGTTCCCT